TATATATATATAACTTTGTTTATTTATTTGATATATAATAGAGTAGTCGTATAAGTTAAAATGTTCAATATATACTTTTCGAATATATATACAAACTATTCAAATAACATTCGGAATACACAGTCGGACTTATCGGACATAAAATTCGGATACTCGACAGATATCCCCTACGCTGTGCGCAAGTGGTATAATAACGATAATTATACGGCTTAATCGCGATAATAAGAAATATACAGTCGACATTCGGCCGGGAAGGGAGGAGGAAAGAGTTTTCGCTAGCGCGGAAAATTCTTCAGTGTCGATTGCATAACGTTCTTATTTTTTCACCTGTCTTTCTTTTCTTTTTTAGCGTTTATCTTTCGTCATTTATCTCCTATTTGTCGCTTTTGTGCGGTTTCTGTGCGTGGCGTCGCGAATGGCAATGGGAAATTTTTAATGGAGATTATGTCGCGCTTCGTGAAAAATCTGTTAGACGTAAAAATAATTCCAAGACAACACGAATGTCTCACAGATAAAAAAAGAAATGTTTAAAAAATATTCAAAGAATATCTAAGGAATTAGATTTTTTTAGACGTCTTTTTCAGTTTGCGCTGTCTAGGATGTCATTGTCATTTAGGCACTATTCTCCGGTGATAAGAAATAGGTCTTTAGTGCCGAAAAATTTTCGCATCTCAAGTGGTTGCTTCTGACAGAAATTCTGTTTGTGCACAAAATATTTTTCCCGATTATTGCATTCTATTCGGAGTTTGCTTTGTAAACAATCTCTACACATCCTTTGCCATTATTTCAAACATTCCTACATTATTTTTCATGCGTATTATACAGAAATGCAGTTTTCATAAAAGTTGTCGATGTTTTTCCTCTCTATCCCTATTTCCGCTTTAATCAAAAGTCGCGTAATCGTTAACAATTTCTGTTCCGTTTAATACTCATTCGTGACTTTTTAATTAACCCGACATAATTCGATTGCGTCGATTCGCGATATAATCGGATAGTATTGCATTTTCACTTTCTTGGTGTCAACTGATCTATTCTTTATTCGTGCGTTTGGAGAATATCTGTGTTTCAAAAACCCTTTTAGAGAACATCTCCATTATATCTCGAATGATAATAGCTCTAACAGTTCTCCTCAGGTTTTAATATCGATCAAATCCCATTTAGTTGTCTCTCAAAAAAAAAAAAAAAAAAATTAAACTTTCTAATCTCATGACTCTTAGATTCTTCTCCCATAACTGATGATGTCAATTGACGTGTCGACGATCACCGATGACCGGGCACCTTCAGATCTGAGGCGCGAAATTCCGAGACAAAGTTCTCACCTTCAGCAGCAACCGCTTAATCATCCGTGCAAGCCGCGGCACAGGTCACATGAAGACGTTATCCAGGGCGGGCAAGTTTTTTCTAGTGGGTGTCGAGCTAACGCTGAGCCCCTCGTCCTCGAACGTGACCATTTTCTCGCGGCTTCTCGTGGCAGTGTTGCAGCCACCGCTGCCGCTGTCCAGCAGCCTAGTCTGGCTAGCGACGACGGTCATCCCGGCGGTGACCGGCGGCGTCATCGCCGAGGATGGCCTGAGCACCGACGCGGGCGGCGGGGGTGGCACAGCCATGTCCGTCACAGCGGCCGCGAGATTGAACTCACTGACGCTGCGAGGCACAAAATACTCGAAATGCAACGAGCTCTCCTGCTGACAATGTTGCTGATGATGGTGCAGCGGCTGTTGTTGATGCTGCTGCTGTTGATGATGATGCTGCGTCGGCGACAGGCAGCTTCTTCTTAACGGCTGGCCCCGTTGGAACTGCTGTTGCTGAACGTTGGCGCCCGAGGACAAGACATTGCTCGTCATCGTCCTGCTCGCGACGTCCAGCGGCAACGTCTTCTTCCGCGGCAGCGTATGATGACCGGGCGACAACTTCATGGCAGTGTTAGACGGATGGGCCAGGAGCTTGCCGTCGCCGGGGCTCCTGGCCTGATGCTGTCAGGAGCCGGCTGGCACCATCGACATGGCGATTGCCTCCTCTTCTTGCTCGGACAGTCGCGAGTCGCTGGTGCCGCCTCCGTCGTCAAGGTCGGCTTTGAGACCGGGAGCGGCGCCTGCTGCAAAGAAAAGGAGAGAGACCGTGACGCGTGTTTCATGACGGCCGATCGCCTCAATCGTTTAATTCTTTTCCGATCGTGCTCTCTTGCGGAAATTTTCTCGTTTCTTCGACCGCGCGGATTGACATCGGATTGGCATAACGACGGTAACTGTTACGGTACGTTCAAAATTGTTCACGCTAATAATCATGCCCGATTGCGTATATATTAATATGTACATCGAATTAATTAATTGTTACTGGATAAGTGTGTTTCTTTTCCGGACGTAACTAACGCGCGACGGTCGACAAAAAGGATCAGCGATTTCTCACGATGCTCTCTGTCTTTCTTGCGGGAGATTCTCGCTACGGATTCCCCACCGAATGCCTTCATCAGGGATACCTGTACCACCGATAGGTCCGACCATCACGCCCGACGACATGCCGCAGGTTCTACCGAAGACCCTGACCACGCGTACCACCTCCTCCTGGACGAGGTTGAAGCACATGGCGATCAGGCCCATCCCGGCGAGGATGTAGAGCGAGCAGGCACACAGGCTGAGCTCCTCCAGAGTGGCCGAGGCGGCGTTGCGTCCCATCGGCATTAGGTCGCCGAAGCCGATCGTGCCGAGGCTGGTGAAGCAGAAGTAGCCGCCCTCCAGCAGACTCCAGCCCTCCAGACGGTTGAACATGACCGCGCCGCCGCATATGTACACCAGCATTATCGCCAGGCACAGGCTGATCGGTATCCTGACCGGATTCGCCTCCAGCACGTACGCCGGCGACGAGGTCGACGATAAGGACAACGAGCACGGGTGAAAGTGCCGCTTCCCGTTACCCGTTGTAATATCCTGAAGACGATTTAATATATTAACGTAACAAGCGATATTTAATACAACAGGCGAAACCAATCCGTTAAAGAGAGATTTATATAATAAAGAATTATGATATAACTTGAAGAAAGAAAGAGAAAGAGATTTTTTTATACAGGATTTTTCTTGAAAAAGGTGAAAAAGATATCAAAACCAATATAAATTTTCTACAAATCGACAATTTTCTGAGTTTCTCAGTAATTAAATCCTGCGTTTCATTAGAAATTGATGTAAACTTTTGATCCGCTTAATTAGTTTACTTATTAAAAGCCTACAGTTTTTACCTTCGTTGTTCATTTATATGCTAAATCGGTTTGTATCGAGTTTTTGAAGTTTAAGAGTTTTTTTCGTGGCTTTCTTTTTAGTGAATTTAAATAGCGGTGAATGTCTCTTTTGATAATATCACATTATCTACATGCTTCTGCAAGAGTGCAAATGTTTCATTTCCATATCTTTCTCTCGTGCGATTAAGAAGATTAGAGTAAGTCAACGAATCTCATACAATCTAATACTTCACTTTGAAGTATTAATTTTAAGAATATGATTAAATGTCTTGCATTAAAAATCTTAATTTAAAAAAAATATGTTTTATATATCTATTTAACAAAAATATAATTTATTTTTTATTTCATTTTAAATACAATAAAATTTCGTAATATAATAATTTATTGCAGAGTACCTTTTTCCACATTTTTGTTAGGCTAATTTAATCATATAATTCAATTTAAAGAAATCACTCTTTCTCTTTCTCTTTCTCCTTTTAATAATTAACGGTAATTATCAACGTTACCTGAAGCGCGGCCGTCGAGCTGGTAGTGGCGTGCAGGAGGCCCTCGCTGCCACAGTCGAGAAGAATCGCACTTCCGGCGCCGCGGATACCCAGATCGTCGCAGGAGCTCTCCCTGCTCGCCGAGTAATAGTTGCCGCCGCCTTTAGTCTCCACGTGATTGTCGTAACGATACGCCTTGGTCATTATGCCGCCGACCGGCGGCGGCGGCGGCGGTGGCTGTCGCTTCCTGGCGCAGTTGCGCTGCCGCTGGCACATGCGTCCGTAAAGACGGCGGAAGCTACGGGCGAGCACGTCGCCCACCGTGCTGAGGTAGACCAGCATCAGCGGGATCCCCGCCAGGGCGTAGACTATGGTGATCAACCGGCCCCAGACTGTGCGCGGTGCAACGCTACCGTACCCTGAAACCGCAACCGTATCTTAAATCAAATCAAGATATTATCACTAATAAGCAGTGCTTTTGAAGTTTAGCACTGTAAATAGTGAAATCTCACTGACTATCAGAAAAATCAATTAATAATAATGGCTGTTTCAATTGCTGATATTTTATAAAAAAATATTTATATATTATATTTTATATGAGATAAATGCATAGGAATATATCAGGTGATTGCATAAGTTCGTGCCCGATTTGATTCGCATAAATAAAGGGACGGATAGATTGAATCTGGACAAACCTATGGTTGTGATCAGCGTCAGGGAATATAGTAAGCTACCGCTGAAGGTCCATCGTCGACCATGCAGGCGTCTGTCCACGTGATGTTCCCGTGATCGCGGTGACAATGGTGGTACCTGCTCGTACGAGGTGCGTCTGAGCCCGCGCGCCAGGTTCTCCTGAAATTCGAGGACTTCCCGTGCCGCTAGGCGGGTCCAGTTCTCCTTGTAGAGAACATTGAGATCCTCGGTGATGCTCCAGAGCTTCTCGACCGTGCGTGCTCTTAATTCCATGGCGGCGGAATCGTTTTCCAGATTCGGCAGCACGTAGGAACCACCGTCGGGTTTAGAGGACGCGACCTCGGTGGGTGAATCCTGTGTAAAAGCGACACGGATTTGATTAAATAATTCAATGAAACATATCAACTTTAATTTTCACAAGAAATCCCTTTTGTCAGGAATAAAAGTCAAAGATACATTATTAAAAAACTGAAAGCAAGAAATAATTATCTCCTTTTTGAGTCTTTCTTTGTAAACATACTATCTTTATTATTCGCAACGCGCGAGATTAGTGAATCGGAATACTTGAGAGATAATTGCATCAACAGCAATTAGCTGTTTCAATTCTAGTTAATGAAATTTTTCCTCAAATGACATTAAGCTTTAAAACGCTTCGATATCAATTAATGCTTGTTAAACACGAAAATTTTGCATTTTTCCACATGCATAATTATTCTCAATTAATAATTATTACGTTTCTCAATATTCTAAATATATTCTAAAATTTCGCAATTAAATTGAGCGAAAAAATTCGGATAGTCGGGATCGATGAATCGCGATTGGGTCTTGATTAAAATCCCGCGGTTCGCGTAAATTTTATCGTCCATATTTTCGATGATTAAAATCACGCCGAGCGATTTAATCAACGGTTGTAACTCACTGATTTGAAGCCTCCCTCGAGGGCCATGAAGGCGAACGCGCCGAGCAGGGTGTAACCAAGAACGAGCACGCACACGCCGAGGCTCGCCAGCAGCCCCGGGGTCTTGGTGGAGGTGGCGGTGCTACAGCTGCAGCAGCAGCAGAACAGCTCCGCGCCGCGCACCGAGACTCCCGCGTTGTTGTTGTTGTTGTTATTATTGTTGTTGCTGCTGCTGCTTCTGCCCGGACAGCATCTCGGCGCCCTCTGATAATAACTGTCGCCGGCGTTCTGCATCGCTGATTAAGATCGCGATTCGCCCTCGCCGTCACCGTCGTCGTCGTCGCTGCCGCCGCAGCTGCAGATGCAGCGACCGATGACGCCGCCGCAGCTGCAGCCGCAAGCGGTAACGTTCTAACGTCGTCCTATCGTCGTCGCGCCATTCATCCGCTGCGGGGCTGCCCGATCTGTGATCAGAATGCGTGTCTTTAAATGCATTTATATGTATAATCGGGATTTAGATCAGATTCAGATCAGAGAGAGTAGCTACGTTAGCACACTTTGTCGCTTTGCAAATAATCTTCAAACGCATTGTATATTTAATATTTCTCGCATCTTCGAATAAAATTATTTTCGGGGAAAAAGAGAGAGAAATAAATTTTAATTACTTTAATATAAAAATGGAATTATTGAGATACACGCAACGTGTATTATTGTTACGTTTCGTCATCTCCGGATCGTTCTCGAGACGGGGTTCTCGACCTCTGCACGATATGGAGGTAATCGAGATAAGGATGCGATTAGATGCATCGGGGATACGATTAGACGTACAGAGACAAATAGCTCCTTCTGAGTAATTGGCTCGTTACAGGTTAATGGCCTTCCTCGAGAAGCGCTTTTCACGCTCGAGGCTTGCGTAACTCTATGTGCAATCAACACTCTCGGCCGACTATACCATCGTCGTGTAAACATTCATACGGCGGATATATACGGAGGTGGATTTGTTATTTCTAACGCGTCCACAAACATCGGATACTATTTGCGACGTGAATGCACACATACATACAATATATAAGATGGTGTATTATGATACGTGGAAATCTACCTCGAAAATAGATTCTTTAAACTATATTCTTTCTCGGAAAAGAAGAGAGACGAGCGTCATCATCATTTTCCTTCGCGATTCTCGTTAATCTCAGAAACTCGAAGTTTTACGATAAAATTCAACGAAAATTCTACTCCACGAAAGCTTGCTCGAGATGAATTAAAAAATATGGTTTCGTCGTCCCTATGGTAGCTCGTTGTTCGCGAATCGACGGCTTTTATTCCGTCGATATGGAAGCCGATGGCGCGCCACCCCGTTCCGTCAGTCAGCCCCCGTTACGTCTGATAAAGCAATCGTCAGCGCGACGAGTCGGAGAAGCAGAAATAGCCGATCGACCCCTCGGTATACTACGTTCCGTTTATGCACTCGCTCGTTGCTCGGAGAAACGCGTACATCAGATGCATGATGCATAATAGGCGCACTCTTGCGCGACACAAGTGGAGAAGACACGGAGACAGAGACCGGGATTCAGTATCCTGAGCCACGATAGGGAGACGCCTGAGGGAGAAAGGAGAAGAGAGGAAAATAAGGGTCAAGAGAGACGGAGAGAGGATGCGTATGCAGATTGACGTGAAGAGCTTTCGGGTACGTGTTAGATCTTTAGTAAAATGCTACAGAAAGAGTAAGATTCTCTCGAGAGAGGGAGGAAGATGAGCCGCTTGTTTTGTCTGAAGAGTGTCTCGTCTTCGCAATGTGGAACGAGATATCAAGGCGCGATTGGTGAATTATCTCATATATATATATATATATATGTATATTAGGAAACGAAATAAGATATAATTGAATAATTAGCCGGGGAGACATCAACTCCTTTAATACAAATACAAAGAGAAGGATAAAAAAATACAAAATATTGCATCTTAAATTAATCTCTGTTGGTTTTTATCACGTGCGCAATAAAAATTATCACATTACATCTATTTTCAATGTGCGAAAAGAAAAAAGAAAGAGAGAGAGAGAGAGAGAAAAGACAGGCAATTACAAGAGCGAGATAGAACAAGAGATCTTCTGTCTGAGGGAGAACAGTAGAGACGCACCACGTGTATAAATAGAACGTGCGAGGTAAAGAGCGAAGTGTATGGTGTGCGTATGACACCGTTAACAGTGTACAGTATTTGTGTGTATATGTGCGTATGCGATGGTTCCACGTGCGAGAAAGAGATCCGCGACCGCCCCAGTTGAAGCATTGTACCGTCGGCTACCGGAGATAAGGCATGAAATTAAATTCGACGGAATGTGGGTCGTCGCGCCACATAGTGTAGTCGGCTCCTTTCGCCATCCTCCCTCCCTCCTCCCCCTCTCACACATACACACAAGTCACGTCCTGCCTGAACAACAACGTCGGAGAGAGATACGTTGGCATCCGCCCACACAGCGGGTACGTTAGGTATCGTAAATGCCTTAACAATCACTCACAACACGGGTACTTCTCGCAGCTGCTTGACGTACAAAACGTCTCACAGAGACATTTGACAAAGAGTGTCATCGGGGGTGGATTCCTCGACTGGCTTGAAATCCGCTCTTTTCTCAAAGTAAATGTGAAACTATTCGCGCAACGAATGACTGATGCTGATGATCGTTAATTGATGACTAGCATTTGTTCGGGTAAAAGTTATAATTAAGGTCCCTCCGAGAGATACGACAAACCGTTAATATATTTCTGTCTCGACGAACAGTCGCGGATACCTAAGCATGATGGATCCTTCTCGAGGATGCCTCCGGCAAATGGTACGCGCGCAACACCTGATGCACGTTTCTCTCGCCGCCGACAAGAATCGAGACTTGATTGATTTAGCGATGTCAAATCGAAAACGTGACGAATTGTGACACGACGTCGCTTTATTGCGCCAAACGGCGAAGGGATTTCCTTCCCAGAGAATTTTTGCTATTTATTATTTTATTCTCGCGAGCGTACCGGGGACAATTGTTGCGTTAGAGCTTTTAACGCTTTTTATCGGGAACATCGCTTAATGCGAATATTCGTGATTGCTGCAAAAACGTGTTTTTTCAAAAAAGAAAGAACTCATAGAAACACGCTGTTGCATATAACTGGATGTTGTGTGATGTACACTGTTGGGCCGAAAGCGAATAGCTTTCACGCAAAATACACATGCATTCTATGTTATGAACGGAATCTATAATAGATTCTCTCTGTTGATAAAAGCCAGTAGTTTTTCAATTTCCAGCGAACGAATAACGAAATCTCATTCTTTTCATGATCTCATCAAGTAAATTTTATTTCTCAACAAAATTTTCAATATCGAATATACGATAAATTACGGATCGTTGATTAAAATAAAAATCAAAGGGCAGATCAGTAAAAATATCGGAAACAACGAATCCAGGTTGAAACTTCATCGATAATACGTGCAACGGTATGTTTCGACCTTACTTCAGATTATTTTCAATCGCGGTTTTTTTTTTTATATCGAAAAACGGCGATATTTTTCTTTTACAAACAACAATAACGCCAAATGACCTGATTATAAAAAATATACTATTGTAGCATAGAGAATCAAGAATACGACGTTCTCATATCTTCGTCGAGAGAAAATTTACTGTGCGAATTGATCGATAAATCTGAAGATAGAAAAAAAGCACGGAGGCGATTAGAATTAAGGTCAGGAATTTTGAGATATCCGACCGAGATCGCGCCTTTTGCGCGTATTGCTCGTTACATCAGGTATCGTCTATCGGCGCTATTAGCCGATAGGCCGAGAGGTCGTTCGTTTAATTGAAATTCACGGGTGAGTGGATACCGCATAATCGGGCATGCGTCGCAATCGGCCAAGCGCGAGAATAGAGATGCAAATTTTTCTTTAGCTCGCGAACGTACGTGGGGATTAACGTTATGTGCATTAATTAAGGGATTAATTCAGGTTCGTAATCGAGCTACATTCTACCTCGGTGGAGCGGACGGTAATCCAAAAATGTTCCTTTAATGTAGGCGCGCGAAATAACATCGGAGAAAATACGGTCATGTGGACTACGAGGTTGCCCAATTTCTCTGCGAATTAAACCACACAGGGCCATGATCCAATTATCCAAATATGAAAATAAAATACTATTCTTGTCCCATTTTTATTTTAATGAAGGAACTGACAAAAATCGTTGGGGCTCAAATTTGCCGCTTAATAAGTCCTGCATGCTCTTGTTTAAAGTACAAATTACCATCTTTCTCCATTTTTGTCACATACGAGCTTAAATATACAATCGTTAAATTAAATAAAGTCTTGATATTTTTAATTGGCACGCGCCATTTATATGTCTAAATTTAAATGAGATACATGAGCGCGCACGCATCATTTGTCGGTCTCGTGAGATTAAAAATGTAATCGTTGAATAAAAACAATTTATAATATTTCAAATTTACATGTCAAAATGTGCGGATGGAAGAGAGCCGCCTGTATATATTATATATTACGCATAAAGCCTCGCATGACGTTGACGTACAGCGATAAGTCAGCCTCGGGCGAGATGAATTAAGGGTGTCTACGCAGCAATTCAAAGGGTCTGTCAAAAGTCGAAGCGTGCCCATAACACGCGGGAGAGATGGGATAAATAATTTTCCAATATCGATACGTGTGGGAGCTTCTCATATCTTTATTCCGCTTGACGTCTGCTAGGAGAACATCGGTTGTCGGATCTTTCTAAATTTCTGATGCTTGGAATTATACGGTTATCTTACACATAGTTTGCGTAATTAATATTTGTACACTTTCTTGAATAAAATCAATGTGTTATCTATATCATAAAGATTTTATAATTTTTTAAAGTTTATTTTATATATTTTCAGAGAGATAATATATTTTGCGATCTCTTATATTTGCATCTTTTTTGAAAAAATTCTAATCAAGTGCGAGCGTTTTTAGAAGTTTTCTTTGATCGCTATTTTTTTTTTTACCTTGCCATATGTTATTTTATATTTTCTACAGAGCTTATATACAATCACAAAGATTGATCTCCTTTGGAGGATTATTTGCATTTCTGCGCGTCGCGTTATTCACGATTCCGAGAAGATGCGAGCTATGCACTTGGAAGCGTCATCGCTTCACAAGAGCTCACAGAGATCTCGGAGTTACCGTCAGACATGAGATACTTCTGATGACAGCTCCCGAGAGAGAGGTACGTAGTGGTACTACGTATCACACAATTCCGTAGTTACATTGTCGTAGTAATCGATTGGCATGCGAAAGGAATTCCGGGCGTTTAATTGGAATTTGTGTGCGGAGAGCTTATAGTACGCGATATATAGTCGTTCGCTATAACTATAGTTAGGGGAACGATAGCGTATCGTGTAATCAGGCGGCTTGCCTGTGAGCACGTCGTTCACTATAGAAACTCTAGTATCCGATCCGGAGC